GGCTTGGTTTATAAATTACAGTGTAACTGCGGGAAATATTACATAGGAGAAACAGGGAACACCGTCACGCAGAGAACAAAGACGCATCTGTCAAGATCGAGAAGATGGATGATCGCGGTCGAGCGTGAGCGACAGGTGGTAACGAAGTATCCAGGAAGAAAACAAGGCCTCGCGCTCAGCAAAGTCATGGAATAATGTGAAAAAACCTCTGGGATTGCGCAAAATGCAGTCAAGCAAGGACACTCCCCCCGTTGGTTGAATGTCAGTTACATCAAAGAAAAACATTGGCTACACAGGCATTAGTCATTTAGTCTTGCAAAAATGTGAACCGTGACAAAAGGTACGAACTCCGTGCGCACTGAACGACCCTCGTTGCCCCCGTTGCCCGAAAACTATTTAACTAGGGGCATAGATTGAAAGCTTGTTTTCTGGCTTCAAACCCATTAACTGCTGCAAACGACAAACGAAATTCACGAAACTCTACCACCCACCTGACTTGAGGAAGGTCCGTGAGACATGGGCCGATACGTAGGTGTTGGTCAGTCACCAGAGAGACTACAGCATTTTTGCGTTATGTATTTTAAACCGTTTTGTTTTTTTTTAAATTATATAAAGTATATATCAGAAAACCAAGCAAATAGTTTGGTACATAAAACGTTTTCTTGAGCGTAAGCAAAAGTGCATCTCTTGGGAGATTATTATCTTTTTTGCTTACTTATTTGACTATTTGCTTAATTCTTGTTTGTTTATCTGGCTACTTTATTACGTACTTTTATTTCCTTTGCTCCATGCTGGTATACTTTCATGAAACTGTGGATATATTTTATGTATAGACGCACTGCTGTTGGTGAAATACAGCTGATCCATTACATGCTTCACTGTCCTAGTACGGACATCTTACTGCAACGTGGGTTTACCATTACACTGTGAAACAAGTTTTTTCAGTTCTGTGCTACATTTACACCGAAAACTGTACTACATTCTGAATATATTCAGGCGGCGCTGTTGGACAGGTTCATAAGATATGCAACGACTGTGATTACCCCTGATAGTATGCATTAGCGTATTCTGATAAGACAGGCGGAGCTAATCTTCTAAGGCATTTTCTGAACTTTCGTTTTAGGCCCGAGGGCTGTTGTACCAGTTCGAACATATGAAGCTGATCCCGTGCGTTCTAGCAGAGCTGAACAACGTTCGTGGCGAGAGCAGCTTCTGGGACACGGATCAGCTGTCGAAAATCCAGTGTGTCTGCAAAAACGTGAGGGAAGACAGTTGTCCATATATCCGTAACCTGCAGTCGCCGTGAGACCAGAAGCTAGTCCTCAAGGAAGGCCATGATGACAGCGCGAGTCGAGTAGAGCCAATTCGTTTCTAACTTCGCCTGGATAATCATTCATGCATACACCGTTTTCATTTTATTCGACTTTCTCATTCATTTTTTGCTGATCCCACTTTTCGCTTTATCAGCCTCTTCGTAAAATTGAAGATATAAGTAAAAATATAAATGTAATGATGAAATATAAATACGAAACAGCTAAAAGGAGAACAACTTAGGTGCCACTGCGTCGGTCAAGTTGTGCAACGCCTGACAATTTATCGGAAAGACTGATATTCAGGCTGCCAGAGATACAGCTGGAGCAAAAGACTTCAAGAAAGGATGTTAACATATCTAATGCAGATTGCGCGACTGATGAAGTTTGTCGTGTACCGCAGGGGCAAAACACCACATAAATTATTAGGAATCAAACTTGACCCCTGCATTAAATTGTATTACATAGTATATACAAAATTATAGCTGTTGTACAAAAATATAAACGCTACTAGCCTCTCTGTTTTCTATTTTTAGGGTTGCTTGTAAATTCTCGGCTTTTATGACAGTAAAATCCTAATTTATTTATTTTATAAACTCAGTTTTAATTAACAAAAAGTATTCATACTTAAGGGCTATGAAATACTGTAAGTTAGCTTGTCACGGCAGTTGCAGGATTTAAACCACAAATCGTCGTAAGAATTAGTAAAAAAATTGAACTAAGAATGCTTTAATTTCACAAAATGTTCTTACAGAGAATAGTCAATTGCCTGCAAACCATCTTCACATCGGTTTGAAGCGCTTCCTGCAGAAATGCGGCAATTTCAGTTGTCAAGGAAGATAAAAGTGCCAAGAACTCGATGCCAGTCGATACTGGTCTGAGGAAATGTGGCATGCAAGAAACGTCGAAACGAGGGCATGGCAAACTTGTCTCTTGTAGCTTTCTA